TCCACTGACAAAATGTTCTCCGTCCCCTGGCTCTAGTCCTTGCACAGGTTGCAAATGGTAAAGACACGTCTATGGTCATTTCTTAGAACACGGTGAACATGGCTTGCTGAAATTCCCAAGGCACCAGAAACTCTCCTAACACTTGTGGTCGGATCTCTATCAAACTCACGCAGAATCATACGGGTAAATCTGCGCTGACGAACATTTATGTTTTGATCCCTTTGGAGATTTCCAAAACCATTTTCAATTATTTGGCGATGCACTCTTACAAATACTGAGTGAGTTGGATGTCGTCTGTTTGGAAATCTTCGTGCGTATTCTCTGGCTGCTTCTGCTGCGTTTCCATTTACAAAGCCATACACAAAATGAATATCCGCTAACTCTTGATTGGAGAATAAAAATGGCATTTTTATAAAACTTACAAAAAAAAAACATGTAAAAGAAACTAAATTTCGTGCATTCACTATTGCAAAAAAACGTTTCAGGTTTCAACAGACAACAAAACTAACTGTCAACTAATTGACGTTTAACCTTATTCTGCTTTCAATTTCAAAAATATTTGCAGGCTCAGCCTACTTCTAAAAATTATCGAGATACTGACTTTTTAACGTTATTTTATCATAAATAATTAAAAATGCATCGAACCTCAAAAATCGAAATATCTCAAAAACGGCAACTATAACGAAAATTCACAAGAGAGCCTTTTTATGTTGAAAAGTGCGAAGAATCAGTTTTTTTATTCAAAAAGCAAAAATTGCACTAAGAAAAATTTTTCGGTCATTTTAATACACCACAGGTACAGTAGAGAGCGCCCTCTAGCGGCTACAGTAAAACTATGCCCATGGTTCGTTTTGTCGTACCAAAAAACCCTTGTATACCAATTTTCACTGTTATACATCAAATAATGTTCGAAATATTTAAAAAAACTATTTTAGAAAGTAAATTTAAACACCCTGTATTTCGGAAGCCACGCATTTTTCGACCCATGCTTATATAGACTTTACGCATTAATTTTAAAAGTTCTATCGAATCTTAACGTTATGCAACAATAAACTGAAACACCCTGTATAACTATTTTATGCGGCATATTTGCTCGGTAGTCAAAATAGTTGTGTAGTAACATTTATAAAACAAACCCGTGCCTTGCTGTTTCGGTGTGCAAAATTAGTAATTTAGCAAAGAAATCGCTTCCGTTGGTATCGTTATTTGAGGCATCTAGCACTTAGATATCGATCTCCAGAAATTCCCGCACCCTCCACAAACATTGGAGGCTGTACGAAACCAAATTCGGATGGCCTGGAATACAATACAACAAAAAGACATCAATCTCCTAATAAAATCAATGCAGCGAAAAAGTATGCTCAAAATTACAGCACTTCTAGTCGGCGTTGCATTTTCTATGTCATTTAGTAATTAAACAATGCAAATAATTATAAGGAATTTTTGCCATTAAATTTAGCAACATTACTCTAGTACAGTAGAACTCGCGATTATCCGAAATCCAGTTTATCCAAAACAGATCGCATACAATAATTTCTCCGTTTTAACCGCAGTTGTTCGCATGATCCGAAATAGCCGACGGTAGTTCCCCTTTCAGCGTTTGCGCATTAGATTCGCTGCCGGTGATACCCCAAGGGCGTTTGCGGAAATCACTGGTATGTGTGCGTGTATGTCTGTTTCAGTCAGATTCATAATCGCTAAGATGGAGCGGCTCAGACATAAACGTAAACGCGTTGTTATTACCACAGAACAGAAACATGAGGCAATCAGACGTTTAGATAGAGGTGATTTGCTTAAAAACGTGGCAAGTGATTTGGGTATGGGCATAGGTACCATTTCAGATTGGAAAAAACAACCCGAGAAAATTGAAAAGTGGTCTAGTGTTCTGACATCAGCGCAGCCGTCACAAGAAGTGCTTTATATCTGTGGTTTACACAGAATCGAGAACGTGGAATACGAATTTCCGGACCAATTCTAAGGCAAAAGGCAGTCAACTAAACTGAAGAAATGCTAGTTATAGATGCGCCTGATAACTTAGCAGCCTGTGATGGTTGGCTGCATAGATGGCAAAAGACGACACGGTATACGAGAATTAAAAGGTAACGGAGAAAAGTTATCTGCCGATGAGTCCGCTGTATTAAAATATGGAGAACATTTTAAAGAATTAATGTCGCAGTATAGTTTAAGTCCAGAACAAATTTACAACTGCGACTAAACTATAAGCTTAGCTTCAAAACAAGAATCTGGAGCTCCTGGTTGCAAACGCATTAAAAAACGTGTAACTATCCTTGCTTGTAGCAATGCTTCCGGTACACACAAAGTTCCTTTGTTGTTAATCGGAAAATCAGCTGAACCAAGAGCATTTAAACACGTCCGTCCCAACGCTCTCCCAGTGTGGTATAAAAATCAAAAAAATGCCTGGATAGATGCTGATCTATTTAAGGACTAGTTTTACATAACCTTATAGAGGTATATACTCACTTAACACACGCATTTACTTGTTTCAATAAAAAGCACTGTGAGTCTAAATATTTATTTCCGTTTTTTCCGAAATTTCGATTATCCGAAAGCACTTGGGTCCACATTTTTCCGCGGTTCTACTGTACTAAATTCGACGAAATTAACATGATAATAAGGATATTAAAAGAATATGAAACGTTTTTCAGCGAGTGATTCTACTTTCCATAGTCTGTATACTTCCGTTCGCGACATGACGCAGAAAATTACCAAAGGGAATGGCCTACTATGTTATTGATATTTCCATTCAAATCGGTGTTTACGGTTTTAATGGAATAATAAAAGCGTATGAATTTTAAACTGTGTTCTTCATATAAAGCCGAGTTTAGAGCCTTCAATATTTTGCAACATGTCTCTGTCTTAATACTCTTTTCTATTACCATATTCATTATAGTAAAGCTTTAGTCTTGTAGTTGCTAGGATCCAGGCTTAACATGGTCGATTTTTGAGACCGGTATTAGGAGAGAGGTTTTAATTCGCTACAGGAATACGATTTTTTACGTAATAACACCACAGAAGCAATATTAACATGACCAGAAAATTATAGTCGATGCCAAATTCGATTCGGCGAGATCATTAAAAAGTCAAGTGGCAATGAAGAATTACCCAGAACATACCAATGTCGAAGTTTCTATTAATAACTCATTCTACATCAAGTCATTCATTGTTTTAAATTCCTAGAATAACAGTAAAATTACAATTACTGATAAAATGGTTTGTTAAACATGTGTGGTATATCACCGGTTGTACCTAAAAATAAATTATATTAGCCGTAAAAATATGCATTCACTAATAATTCAACAGACTGCCTCGTCATTCATATCGAACAAAAAGAAACTACGAATCCTACTATCCACTAGATTACAGATTAAAGATTTGAACAAGTATGATATACAGGGTGTTTCACAACTTATCCGACAAATTTTAACCACATATATATACGTACTAAGTGACATATAAATCCGAACACCCAGTTTAAATGGTTTTATTTTAATAAAATTTTGTATAACTACTTAATGAAGCATAATAAGTAAATGATAAAAATTTCAAAATGATTGCACTGCTTTAAAGCCCTTTGACCTTTAATAATGTGTGGATGCACCCTGATGTGCTACGCATTCTCCAACGCGCCTAGGCATGCTTCTGATCAGGTGGTCAATGTCCTCCTGTGGTATCTCATTCCAGGCAACCACCAACTCCTCTCGAAGTGCTTCTAGAGTCTGAGGAGGACGTTGCAAATTGAGCAATCTCCTACCCATCATATCCCACACGTGCTCAATTGGGGATAAGTCGGGAGATCTTGGTGGCCATGGTAACAATGTGACATCATTATGTTGAAAGAAGTCTATTGTGACTCTTGCAACATGTGGTCGGGCATTATCTTGTTGGAAAGTTGGATCTGCCAGCGAGTCAAGATAGGGTAAAAGATGGGGTTCTAGAACTTCGTGGATATAACGCTGCGCGTTCATGTTACCTCTGATGAAGATTAAAGGTGACCTGGAACCATAAGCTATAGCACCCCAAACCATAACTCCAACAGTGTGATGAACATGTCTTTCAACAAAAAACTGTGGATTCCTCCTTTCACCACGTCGCCTTCTAACCCTGACACGACCATCGTGCATGCCTAAACAAAATCGAGGCTCGTCACTAAAGACAATACGGTTCCATTCCTGATCCCAGAGTGACCGTTGTCTGCACCTCTCAAGGCGATTACGTCGGTGTTCTCGAGTTAAAGGCAGGACCCGGTGTGGCCGGTATGAAAACAAACCAAAACTTCTCATTCGTCGGTAAACACTTCGCATGCCAATAGGTCTTCCGTGTTCTGCAAACCACTCATTTGCAATGGACCTGGTAGTGGAGAAACGGTCCCTTAAGGCCAATAATCTTAGGCGGCGATCTTCACGGTCTGTTGTTCTACGGCGGCGTCCAGTGCCCCTTGCTCTTTGCGTACGGCCTTCTAGAAGCCATGCCTGACAACACCTAACCACAGTGTCTACACTTCTTTGCACTCTAACTGCAATTGCCCGAAAAGAAAGTCCAGCTTCCCGAAGTCCCACTATACGGCCCCTATCAAACTCACTAAGTTGACGAAATCGTACAGGTCTCCGTAATCTAGGCATCGTAACCGATCGTAAAGGATGTCAAGAACCAAAATCCGCCAACGTTGATTCTTTACTGCGGCTGAAATATTCATTTTTAGAGCGTTAGTGAATTAAAAAAAAGCAGTATAAAAACCGGAATGTCCAACTGATAAGGCTGAAAATTTTTTCACTTGTTATTTACAGTAAGATAAATACATTCACCAACTTTTATTAAAATAAAACCATTTAAACTGGGTGTTCAGATTTATATGTCACTTAGTATAAATAAGGTTTAATATGTATCGTGGGTGTGATCTGAATGAAGAACGGTCGATTTTTCTGAAGTTAAATAAGAAAGTTATTTATTAATAAAAATGTCACATGTCACACTAATGAGGAGTTAGTGGACATTGTTTTAACGTACCGAGAAACTTCACCTATTTGTTCAAATTTCTGCACTAACTGATGAAAGGTCGACTCGTTATTTAAGTAAAACGTTTTAACAAAACAATTTAAATCAGTTATATATTGGCCACCCCGTATAACACCCACTTCAACTGACATTGTCACCGATACATTTTATACGCTAAAACTGCATCTGTCCGATCAAAAGTTCCGAACGAATATTTGAGAAAATGCATTCGTGTAGCCTGAAGCAAGATCGCCCACTCTACAAACAGTTCAGCAAGATGCCAATGAGATGGTTCAACTTCATCAGTATCTCTAAAGATCACCCGGAATCAAGGAACTTCTTCAGAAGCGACTTTGCCATTCGCCAAGAGAAAGAGAGACACATGCACTCCAAAAGCTATTTCATAGTACATCCTTTCAGTAAGTTCAGGTAACTACAAGTGTATCCCTATACTTCGTAGTTGACTTCGAAGTTGAGTCATTTATTTTAACAGTGAGTAGATCTGATCAAAAGAAATGTTTTTTCCTTTACCATTTTTCTGGTAAAATTTAAGTAACAAAGTTATAGCCCTTTGGAAGTTTGAGTACTGCCCTGTCTCAATAATAATATTATGTGCTCGTGTTTGGCAACAACGGATATAATCCGATTTATCGGTTCATCGCATCGGAAACAAAAAAGCGAAAGAATTTGGAACGATGTTTTTACAATTATTTTATTCAGTTGTATACAGTCAGTGTCAGTCGGTAACGCGTGAGTGAATAGTGGTGTCTGTTGCGTGGCTTAAACGAAATAAAAAATGGCACATGCTTATGCGGATCGGTTTCCCAATCGAGTACAACCAACCCCTCGTGCCTTTGTGAATGTAGTACAACGGGCTCGTAAATCAGGTGACTTAAGACCTCACAGGGGACGGCATGCCAGTGCTCCAAGACCTCACGATCAAATACAGGTCCGCACTGAAATACTTGTCGGGAGGATACTTTATAAAACAGATTTTGAATATTTGATAGTAATATTTTTATGTAGAATCAATTTACCTACAAACTTTGTTTTCAGAGCATGGTACGAAATACATCTCCTTGTGCTTTACACCACGCTGATTATATGCAAGCCGATTCTAGTGAGTTTCTCGACGAGTCGGTCCAAGCCGTACTTCAGCAATCTTCCCGATCTTTTTAAAAGCTCGATTTTCTGCATGGATCTTCTATCTATAGTCGATATAGTTATGAACTTCATCACCGGATATCCCATCAGACTCGAGAGAAGAATCGAACTGGATCGTTCAAAAATCGCTAAGTAAGAGAATTTTTAAAACTAAATGGATGGACAGCTGCTTCGTGTTTCTTGGCTACTCATCAGCACGACCTAGGCTTGAATGAACGGATGAATCATGAAATTAGAGGCAAAGCGGCCACCATAAGGAGCCAGCGCATTTTTTAGACAAAGTGATGGAACCTAGTAGAGTCTACCTATAGTAGCTCAGAGCCTCACGGCGACACAGAACGTGCGCCGAGGTCTCTTCCTCCTACCCCACAGTGCTCACAAGAGATCCCCAGCCACCCCATCACGTGCAGTTGCAACCTTAGGTTGGCTCTATCCAAAGATAAGCACAAACGTCCATCCCTAGCGCTGGGCCCTACGATGAGTTCCCGTGTCTGACGGAGATATCCCGAGATGCTTCTCCATTTCTGAGAATTGTCTTGCAATCCACTTTCCCCTAACATGCTCCGGTACTCACACTAACGATACCGGATGCCTTGCTGCTAGAGCCTAGACCAAGATGATGAGTAGCCATGCACAGCATGTTCCTCTCCTAATGAAACATCCTGAATATTCTCCAGGAACTACCTGTTCAGTCCCTACTTCGTATGCGACGTACTTTCATCGTACCCAATGACGCTTCCTTACCTGGCGAACCCAGACTTTTGCTCGGGCCGTTGTCACACGTACAAGGCCATAATCGCTCTCTTTATGTTGTTCAAAATCGCTCGATTAGTCACGGTGGTGAATCTCATGGATAAAGTTAACGATGTAAGTACCTTTTCTATCTCATATAGTGGAACGTGAAAAACAATGGACAATCGTTGGCATGTCCGCAGTAAAGGAACACGGGCAGAATTAGAAGGATCGGTAACCCGAGCGGCTTGCGTTTCTGCTGATTGGCTTCATCAAGCCTAAATGGATGTGTATCAAAAACGCCGAAGTGATGTAACTTGAAGGAAAACAAGGATGAAAGGGAAATACAACCAACAAGAGCCAGAAGACGCAAACGGTTTTTGTACGAGATAAACTTGCCAACGCGGCGCAGGATGGAAACATCCAAACCTCAGAATTAACTTTTTTATACTTGAACCGCCACGAAGACCTAAGGCTCAAGGACTATAGAGACTGTAGGTGGTGGTGTAGATTAAAAAAGTGCGCATACATGAAAAGAGGACAATACTCTATTTTAAAGTATATGGGGTACCCTAGTAGTGACAAACCATGTTCTTGCTTCTAGCACCTTAACTTGCACCTGAAAGGGCCAATGTTCTTGATAGCTTGCATCACGGTGTCGCTGATCATCACTCATTGGATGGCTTGCATGCACTGGGGCGTGTCAAGGATATTCAGACATTACATCCGTCGGGAAGACATAAATAGTAGCAAAAGTTGGATATACATTACCGGTGCCTATAGAATGCCTTTCAGCAATCAGTACACAAGGGCCTTTCTGAGGAGCAGCGCATGCGTTTTGGGTAATTCTAGGTTAATAATAATAAAATTCGAGGGTCGTCTCAAAAATAAGGTTCCCACATTTTGTTCAGGCACAACGAATTCCATATACTTCACTCAACTGTCGAGGAATTTCTATGGGTGGTAACGTTTGCGCGTGGCTGTCCGGTACTGAGCGTCGCCACTAGGCGCTTTTTGTTGGGATCGGTGGTGAGGGAGCCGACAAACACGGCGGTGTTGCCAGATTTAGCGGAAAAGTTGCAGGATTGGGAACTTTATTTTTGAACTAAGAAGTAAAAAATGCCAAAAATTTTTTGTATCAAGTATGATACTAGTCGTAAGATACTGTTTATATTTTTAGGTGTTTATGTTCCAGTACACAAATATGGAGAAGAGGAATATGTTATGTTTATCTTCACCTACATCGTTGGAAAAATGTTAATATTTTCAGTATGGGGTAATCTCACTTTCGTATTCATAGATTTAAATGAATTTTACTTATAGAGATTTTTAGATTTCCAATAGAGAATATAAATTTTACAAATGACAAAAATAAACATGTATACAGGTTATTAATTTTGAGCCATCCTGAATCTTTGACTGGGCCAGTTACATGATGATATTTCCTAAGATTTCATTTGTTAAACGGCAACAAGAATTTTGAATTTTCTGTAGTTTGTAAGGAAATACGTTATGATTCCATATGGAATTGTGGAACTAATTAATGATCCATATAATCGGCTTTTTGTTTTAAAACTGAGGAAGTATCCATGTTAGTTTTGATAAAATATCATTCAACTTTAAACGTATGCTGCCTATTTTCAGCTCCAGGCTTGCTTTTAGATGTCCCCCCTTTTCTTTCTTGCAAAAAGTACATTTGATTTTTTAGGATTGAGTTTCATATTATTAATAGCAGAATAGTTATTAATACTTCCAAGATCAATATTAATGTTAGCCTCAGCCATTTTAAAATTTTCGGCATCACTTAAGTTTTTAATGTTGACAACCAAATCGAATGTATATATCAAGAACAAGAGGGGCCCTAGAACTGAACCTTGGGGCACCTCTGAAGGAACTTCCTGTAAATTTGAAATGCTTGTGGCCAGAATCACCTGTCGCTGTCTGTCTTTTGGATATGACATAATTTTTCCGCAGCTGTTTTGGCGATATACATTTTGGGAACAAGATCAATGAATATCAGATTCCTAGAACTGATAAATCAAATACAAGCATACACGAAACTGAGCAACTTCCCTACTGATCTCGAAGACAAGTTACTGAAGTTCTGCTCCGAAAAATTCAATAAGAAGTATTTTCGGGAAGAAAGTATTCTAGGATTTCTATCAGGTAATAAGTTCAAACCATGCCCTGTAGACAAAATGATATTGGCAAGACCTATTGAATCTGACAGTGTTTTCACTCCAGAAAAATTGAAGAACGATGTAAACAGACACTTCTCCAAGAAACTCATCGGCTCTACGCTCCTTTTCAAAGATTTGACAGCGAATGAGGTGGACCAAATTGTGGCTAGACTGACTCCTCAAATTTTTCTACCCAAGGATGTTATTATCAGGGCCGGTGACGTTCCCAACGCCCTGTATATAATAAGCAGTGGAACAGTAGCGGTGTTTACAAGAAGCGGAAAAGAGGTACTGCTACGAGGTCTGTAAATTAAGTGATGAGACTTTTTAGAACAATAGAGAAAACTGTTCCACAAAAAAAATTGCTACGATCATCCAAAACACTCGAGCGAGTTCAAACTTGTAATGAAAGCGGATCACATGTTCCACTGTCTCCCCTGCAAGCTCGACGCCTCCAGTGTTGCCATATCGCTACGTTGACAGTCTCATCACTTAGTTTACAGACCTCGTACATCAGTAAAAAAAAACAAGGTCAAGTAGTTGGACTCTATTAAGGGTGTCATTTAATGATAAGCTGTAATTAGAACGACGCATTCTCGGTTCGAATTTAGGTAGAAAAGGTCATATAAACATGTACCCTGAAAAGTTTTCAAAATTTAGACTGTAAAATTTTTATAAAAATTTTGGATTTTTATCGACACCTGATTTTGTTGAATTTTGGCAGTTCAGAGTAATGAGACGCTAAATTAGACTAACTAGAAGCTATACAGGGTGACTTTGAAGTTGAGTCATTAATTTTCAGATAATGATTGTAGAAGGAAGATAAACCAAAATATGTGTGTAAAAATAAAAAAAAAATTAAAAAAAAAAATTTACCTTGTTTTATAAAGTATCCTCCCGACAAGTATTTCAGTGCGGACCTGTATTTGAGGTCTTGGAGCACCGGCATGCCGTCCCCTGTGAGGTCTTAAGTCACCTGATTCACGAGCCCGTTGTACTACATTAACAAAGGCACGAGGGGTTGGTTGCACTCGATTGGGAAACCGATCCGCATAAACATGTGCCATTTTTTATTTCGTTTGAGCAAACACCACTATTCACTCACGCGTTACCGACTGACACATGGACTGAATAAAAACATCGTGATCAGCGTTTCAAATTCTTTCGCTTTTTTGTTTCCGATGCGATGAACCGATAAGGCGGATTATATCCGTTGTTGCCAAACACGAGCACATAATATTATTATTGAGACAGGGCGGTACTCAAACTTCTAAAGGGCTATAACTTTGTTACTTTAATTTTACCAGAAAAATGTTAAAGGAAAAAAACATTTCTTTTGATCAGGTCTACTGTTAAAATAAATGACTCAACTTCGAAGTCACCCTGTATATTCCAGTAGCGTCTCGGGGGACAGTCTCGCGAATAATTTTGACAAAAAAATGTATGCTTTTTTTCGGATTAAGCAGCTAATGATCCACCTTTTCTTGTCTTGGTATCACTTCGTATCTTGTTTAGTTTTCGATGACAAAAATTAAAACAACTTCATCACATGTCGAAAAATTGTTGAAATATCGGTTATACTGGCGAGAAATGTAGCCCACTGATTTTTTTAAAAACTCAGTTTTTCGAATTAAGAAGAGAGAGATGCAACTTCTCTAGGTATACTTAGCAGTTCGTTTTCGAGAAAAGAAAAAATGAAACCAGTTCAAAACATGTCGAAAAACTGGCGATAATATACTAAGTGACATATAAATCCGAACACCCAGTTTAAATGGTTTTATTTTAATAAAAGTTGGTGAATGTATTTATCTTACTGTAAATAACAAGTGAAAAAATTTTCAGCCTTATCAGTTGGACATTCCGGTTTTTATACCGCTTTTTTTTAATTCACTAACGCTCTAAAAATGAATATTTCAGCCGCAGTAAAGAATCAACGTTGGCGGATTTTGGTTCTTGACATCCTTTACGATCGGTTACGATGCCTAGAATACGGAGACCTGTACGATTTCGTCAACTTAGTGAGTTTGATAGGGGCCGTATTGTGGGACTTCGGGAAGCTGGACTTTCTTTTCGGGCAATTGCAGTTAGAGTGCAAAGAAGTGTAGACACTGTGGTTAGGTGTTGTCAGGCATGGCTTCGAGAAGGCGTACGCAAAGAGCAAGGGGCACTCGACGCCGCCGTAGAACAACAGACCGTGAAGATCGCCGCCTAAGATTATTGGCCTTAAGGGACCGTTTCTCCACTACCAGGTCCATTGCAAATGAATGGTTTGCAGAACATGGAAGACCTTTTGGCATGCGAAGTGTTTACCGACGAATAAGAAGTTTTGGCTTGTTTTCATACCGGCCACACTGGGTCCTCCCTTTAACTCGAGAACACCGACGTAATCGCCTTGAGTGGTGCAGACAACGGTCACTCTGGGATCAGGAATGGAACAGTATTGTCTTTAGTGACGAGTCTCGATTTTGTTTAGGCATGCACGATGGTCGTGCCAGGGTTAGAAGGCGACGTGGTGAAAGGAGGAATCCACAGTTTTTTGTTGAAAGACATGTTCATCACACTGTTGGAGTTATGGTTTGGGGTGCTATAGCTTATGGTTCCAGGTCACCTTTAATCTTCTTTCTCTTTCTAGAACTCCATCTTTTACCCTATCTTGACACCCTGGCAGATCCAACTTTCCAACAAGATAATGCCCGACCACATGTTGCAAGAGTCACAATAGACTTCTTTCAACATAATGATGTCACATTGTTACCATGGCCACCAAGATCTCCCGACGTATCCCCAATTGAGCACGTGTGGGATATGATGGGTAGGAGATTGCTCAATTTGCAACGTCCTCCTCAGACTCTAGAAGCACTTCGAGAGGAGTTGGTGGTTGCCTGGAATGAGATACCACAGGAGAACATTGACCACCTGATCAGAAGCATGCCCAGGCGCGTTGGAGAATGCGTAGCACATCAGGGTGCATCCACACATTATTAAAGGTCAAAGGGCTTTAAAGCAGTGCAATCATTTTGAAATTTTTATCATTTACTTATTATGCTTCATTAAGTACTTATACAAAATTTTATTAAAATAAAACCATTTAAACTGGGTGTTCGGATTTATATGTCACTTAGTATATTTTATTGGATTTCATCCAAGCGGTGCTTTTTGAGTTATAGAGTGGCCAAGAACTGAAATTGGTATCATCATCAACAGGTATTTCATCTACAAGACGGCGACGTATTCGGCGAGGTTTCGCTGGTGCTGAAAACACAAACGATGACAACAACGATAGCCTTAGAAACCACGCAGGTCTACAGGCTAAACAAAAAAGACTATATGACTTACATGGCTAAGAACAAACTAGTTACGTCAAAGTTGAAGCACTGGGCCACTACAAGAGCTAAGTAAGTAGTAGTAGTAGTAGTAGAAAGATTTATTTAGCACATTTGGCTACATAAACAGAATAATTGTAAACAACTTAGAACTAGTAAATTCAAGCCATATGGTGTATGATGTAAATGCTGGGCAACCTATAATTATTGTAGATTTAACAAGTGATTTCTCAATTTTACTTTAAATTTCGTCAAAGTTTTCTGGTCTTTTATCTCCGAGTATAATTTATTATATTCAATCAACCCTTGATGGAATACAGATTTGTAGCATATGTTATACTTTTTGGTCATTAAATGGAAGTCATCTTTATTTCTGGTATCATGTAAATGATGGTCGACATTTGATGATGTTAAATTAGTTAGACTTGATGGAAATATATTATTTTTTACTTTATAAATGAATATCATTGCAAGATATTTGATAAAATTTTTTACATTGAGCCATGTTAATTTGCTAAGCATTTGCCTAATTGGAGTATATTTATCTTTATTTAGTATTATTCTCATGCACTTATTTTGTAAAATTTGCAGTCTTTCAAAAATGGAATTATTTGCTAAATATAGAATAGTCGAACAGTACAAGAAATTTGGAAGAATGATGGTATTATAGATAATTTTTCTGCTATATGAACTCAGACATCCAGAAACTCTCGATAAATATCCCACTTTACTACTAATCTTATTTATAACTTTTTCATAATGAATATCAAAAATTAATCGAGAGTCAACAAAAACCCCCAGGTATTTAAAATTTTCTACGAATTCAATATCTTCACCATCAATATTCAGTTGAACATTTGTGCATTGTTTTTTTCCGATTAACAAGGCTTTCGTTTTACTTGTATTTAATTTTAGTCTGTTAGATGCTAACCATTTTGAGACAAGCTTCAAGTCTTCATTTATATAAGAGATATCAGACTGAATATTTTTAGTACTTATATAAATCATAGTGTCATCGGCGAAAATCTGAATTTTGCATTTTGTGACTATGGCAGGTAAATCATTTATGTATAAAATAAAAAGAAGTGGTCCCAGGATACTGCCCTGTGGAACACCCAATGTATTTTCAATTTTTGATGAAATAGTGTCATTAACTTTTGTAACTTTCTTCTATAAACTGCATTAATTGGTCATGCACTATGGACTCTAATAATTTTTCAATGTCTGGTAACACATTTACTGGTCTCATATCCTTGCATCTTTTAGAATTTTCTATTTTGGGAACTGGTATTTGTAGAGCATTTCAAATTTTCAGGAAAAGAACTGCTTCTCAGTGAACAATTGATCCAATTTAATACAGGATATCCCAAAATTTCGAAACAGTTTTTCAGCACGTTTGCAGTAGTGATTTCGGCACAGTTGTTATTTGATTTTAAACTGTTTACTTTTTTTCTTAGATAATTCAATGATACGCTGTGAAATTTTGAAAGTGTATGCATCGCACATATTGATCTTCGTCCCACAATACCAACGCGGGTGTTCCCCAGGGACCGGTCTTGGCCGCAACACTGTTATCATATCAACGACCTCCTCTTCTACAAGGTCAATCAAAACCACAGGTTTTCCAATGACAGCACTCAGAAGGCTACAATCTTTTTTCTCTCTGAAACATCCTTTCAAAGTTCAAATCTTTCTTTACCAAACCAAAGTATTTTAGGCTTAGTTGATTTTAATGCAACGTTTGGTAGCCTATTATTTGGCGAACTACTGATTTTCGCAGACATGTACGAGGGTAATCTCAAAAATATGGTTCCCATCGCTGCATCTCTGTCGCGCGTGGTACTAGGCCAAATCTGGGAACAACGCTACGTGATAAGACGTCTTATTTCAGGAACATTGATAAACTGGAGGAACAATACAAGAAGGAGATGTTCGAAGAAATGTACCGCAGACCCAGCAAGATATCCATGCTGGTCTCATCTCCTCCAGCAGCCAAGAAGTGAATTCGAAATATTATTGTTTTTTTTTTATTGTATTAGAATGAAAATTGTATTTCTGGGTAATAAAGGAATCTACAAAGAAAAAGTTACATTTCTCCTCATCGATAGTGATAACAAAAAAAAATACGACATAAGAAATGGAGTCAGGTATATTGACTTTACACTTCGGATTTTAAAGAAAAGAGTTAAGTCAAATCGTTTCAAAATGGGAAATCGAATCGTGATTGGGTAGATTCACTTAGGTACGATGAATCGTCGATCTCTGCATATCAAACTATACAGGATGTTTTCAAAGTTGAGTGAAAATTACCTAAATAAAAGTTACAAAATAAAAAAAATAGTTGAAGATTTAAATTTAAAAAAAAAATGAGAATGTTATTTCACAGATTTTATGATATTTTCGACCATTGTTGTGTAAAATCTTAACGTTTTTTTGTTTACTACTCTAATCGTTTATCTAGGTTTGTCAAACTTTGTTGGCTTCCAGAACGAGTCTTTGGTTCGATCAGTTGTGTCATTCTTTTGATAGTGTCTGATTATTTTGTGCGAAGAATGGCCCATCTTTACGAAAACAATGAACTAGTGGATACAATACCAACAAGCGAACAGTGCCAACAAACTGCAGTCGCAGCATGCAGGTTAGATGCGGAAAAGTTTCCTTTAATAGAGAGAAGAAATTTAGTTATTAGACTTTGTGGCACTGGATATTGAAAAGAACGACGTGGAGGTCACTTTGGAAGACCTGCTCAACCTGAAATGTTACTAATTGAGGAAGATATTTAAAATGGTCGAAAACAACGGGTACTAGAGCCATAGCATCTCAATTTGAAGTATCTCATAGTAAAATATGGAAGACAATACGACAAGAACATTATCATCCTTGTCATTGTCAACTATGAGCGCAGGCTTGACTAACATTTAGAAAACAAAAGTTTACAATAACACTTCCCCAAAAACGTATTGGGATATTAGATATGTTATCACCATCAAATGAAAAATAAGATATCCAAATCATCCGACCATTTTAAAAGAGGATATCTCCATTCTCCCATAATCTATAGGGTGCGCCATCTATTACTTTTTTTCTATTTGAAAAATCAACACGCTTTTTACGAGGTAAAATCGATTTTTTTTATTGATAAATGAAGGTTGGTTTATGCCATTTATGTATGAAAAATAACATCAGTCATGTGACCACCGCGGCTTCGTTTACAGGCCAACATCCGAAAATCAAAATTTTCAATGACTTTTCCCAGAATAATCGGGTCTATGGCCGCAATTTCAGTCCGAATATTGCGCTTTAGGTCTTGAATTGTCCGGGGACCATTCGCATATACTTTTCCTTTCACAAATCCCCAAAGAAAATAGTCAAGAGGTGTTAAATCGCACGATCTCGGGGGCCAACTGATGATTGGCGAGATGTGTGAGCCGTTGCTCCGTCTTGATGCAACCAAAGATCGTCGGCACCAGTACGATCCAATTGTGGCCACAAAAAGTCTGTTAACATGCCGCGATAACGTTCTCCGTTGACGGTAATGGCCTTGTCTTCGGCATCTCCAAAGAAGAACGATCCAACGATGCCACCAGCTCATAATCCGCACCAAACAGTCACTTTTTCAGGATGGAGAGGTTGTTCATGATATTGGTGTGGATTTTAACATAAACTTATAGTTAAAAAAAGTAATAGATAACGCACCCAGTAGTAGTAGATACGCTGCCGGTTTCAACTCCTCCGTACTGATTAAAATCATTGTTAGATAAAACATTGCGATGACCTTACTTTTCCTACTGTATACGAACCAGAACCAGCTTGTCACAGCTGACTCAGTCACTAAGAAAACAAACCTCACAAAATCCACAACCAAACAGTTTAGAACAATTTAAAAAGGTTGATCGATGGCGGACTGGAAGATCCCAAAACACCACTGCGTTATCCACACCGCGGACGATGATGACCTCTTCGGTGACCGCGTTTACATGAACTGCTGGGAACGATTGAGGGCTAAGTGGATGAGCCTCATAATCGTCGCGGAAAGCCCACTCTCCGACAAGATTTTTAAAAGCAAGGCCACTTTGAGGAGGGAGAGGATCAAGCAATTGGAGTCCGATCATCCGTATGTCATACATCCGTTGAGCAAATTTAGGTAAACGCTCATGACATTATTTTTGTGTACATGTTTGACACGAATCACGTTCTGGATGATAAATGATCTTATATTTTCTATTCCAGGGCGTGGTATGGAGTATATCAACTCCTCTTATATCTGTGCCTGATCTTGAGCAACACGATAGATGGAGCCTTCTCCCACCGACTGTACCACAAAAAATTGTCGTCGGTGAAAATTGCGATGATTCTGGAGGTTCTAGCCTTGATAGACATGATCATAATATTTAATACTGGATACATTATCGCGGACAAGAATACCGTTGAGATGAGGCCGAGGAGAATCGCTAAGTTAATATTTGTTCAGCGAAAGTAGTTTTATGATATCAAAAATCTGTCATCGTGGTAACCTTGACTAGTACATATTTAAAAATGATTTTAACATATTAAGGTTGCCACTAAAATAAATTGTTTGCCCATAAAACTACTTTCCATTTTCGTTGGGACATCCTGTATATATACTAAGTGACATATAAATCCGAACACCCAGTTTAAGAGGTTTTATTTTAATAAAAGTTGGTGAATGTATTTATCTTACGGTAAATAACAAGTAAAAACAATTTCAGCCTTATCAGTTGGACATTCCGGTTTTTATACTACTTTTTTTTAATTCACTAACGCTCTAAAAATGAATATTTCAGCCGCAGTAAAGAATCAACGTTGGCGGATTTTGGTTCTTGACATCCTTTACGATCGGTTAGGATGCCTAGAGTACGGAGACCTGTACGATTTCGTCAACTTAGTGAGTTTGATAGGGGCCGTATAGTGGGACTTCGGGAAGCTGGACTTTCTTTTCGGGCAATTGCAGTTAGAGTGCAAAGAAGTGTAGACACTGTGGTCAGGTGTTGTCAGGCATGGCTTCGAGAAGGCCGTACGCAAAGAGCAAGGGGCACTGGACGCCGCCGTAGAACAACAGACCGTGAAGATCGCCGCCTAAGATTATTGGTCTTAAGGGACCGTTTCTCCACTACCAGGTCCATTGCAAATGAATGGTTTGCAGAACACGGAAGACCTATTGGCATGCGAAGTGTTTACCGACGAATGAGAAGTTTTGGCTTGTTTTCATACCGGCCACACTGGGTCCTCCCTTTAACTCGAGAACACCGACGTAATCGCCTTGAGTGGTGCAGACAACGGTCACTCTGGGATCAGGAATGGAACAGTATTGTCTTTAGTGACGAGTCTCGATTTTGTTTAGGCATGCACGATGGTCGTGCCAGGGTCAGAAGGCGACGTGGTGAATGGAGGAATCCACAGTTTTTTGTTGAAAGACATGTTCATCACACTGTTGGAGTTATGGTTTGGGGTGCTATAGCTTATGGTTCCAGATCACCTTTAATCTTCATCAGAGGTAACATGAACGCGCAGCGTTATATCCACGAAGTTCTAGAACCCCATCTTTTACCCTATCTTGACACCCTGGCAGATCCAACTTTCCAACAAGATAATGCCCGACCACATGTTGCAAGAGTCACAATAGACTTTTTTCAACATAATGATGTCACATTGTTACCATGGCCACCAAGATCTCCCGACTTATCCCCAATTGAGCACGTGTGGGATATGATGGGTAGGAGATTGCTCAATTTGCAACGTCCTCCTCAGACTCTAGAAGCACTTCGAGAGGAGTTGGTGGTTGCCTGGAATGAGATACCACAGGAGGACATTGACCACCTGATCAGAAGCATGCCTAGGCGCGTTGGAGAATGCGTAGCACATCAGGGTGCATCCACACATTATTAAAGGTCAAAGGGCTTTAAAGCAGTGCAATCATTTTGAAATTTTTATCATTCACTTATTATGCTTCATTGAGTACTTATACAAAATTTTATTAAAATATAACCATTTAAACTGGGTGTTCGGATTTATATGTCACTTAGTATAATTTTGGGATTCCCGTCGTTGATTGATCTTACAGTGTCGTTGTTACTTTCTATCAAATCGGTATTAATTCGATCTGCTATTATTTTTTCATTTTAGATAATGCATTGAATTTGTTCTTATGTTTTTCAATGTTTTCCATATTTGTTTAATATTATTTTTACTGTCGTCAATTTTGGTATTGCGATGTTTCACTTTTCATCTGGTAAGAACATTGGTTTCTTTCACTACCAGTAACCATAAACCTTTTATAATTATAGTCTCGTTTCAATTCAGAATCCTTGAAATTGTTGTCTTCTTTCATGCAAACTTCAACATTACCCAATAGGCTTGTATAGCAGCTATCAACGTTAATAAACATTTCAGTCATCTTGCAGTCAAAGAGCATCTCCTAATTTTACATAGTTAATATTAGTAATTTCGTCCACTGTGTTAGCATCAAATACACTTTCAACATAAAACATAACCATCAATGATCGCTGATTTTAGGAGTATTTAGAACTTGTTTTTATCAAACCCATATTTATTCTTGATTGGTTTGTAATTCTAGTGTGATCATAGACTTTTTCCCATAGACCGTATAAACACTAGCATTATTTACTTTCGCATTATTTTCTGATTGATCAAACAGACCAAAATGAAAATCATAAATTACTCCTTACTAAATTATTTTCAGGCACTATGTACGTAGTCCCTACTTCTTCTGCGACCTAGCATCGTCGATTCCAAAAAATATTCCCTATCTTTTCGTGAGAGATGAATACCAACTGTATCCCGATTGGGTCCTAGGGATATTTTGTCTGCTCTTGTTTTCAAGGATGATCAGAATCGTAACCTTCATTCAGCTACTGTACAGGAGTGCAGAGGTAAGAGCATACGAGCTTAATTCCTAAAGTAAGTTCTAAGTACAAAAACAATTTATTTCCAATAATTGAAATGTATTCTATATGTGAGAAAAATTAAAATTCAAGTATATCTCTAGATACTGTATACATTCCTGACCCCGTACTGCAGAAATGGCCACTGTTTGGAATCCAGGG